AAATAAAAGCCCGTTTGCTCTGAGTGGAATAGTTATTTCTAGATAATCCTAAACAAAAACAAGCGGAAAAAAACCTAAAAAGCAAAAAAAAGTTACTATGAAAAGCAAGCTTTTACTGTTGAAAATCGGATTTGTCCTATTTAACTGTTCCAAACATTTGCAGCCTGACTCAAGCTAGTCATCTGTTATTACTCTGAAGTCAACAGGAAGACACAGGTACCTACAGAGAGCAAATAATCACCCTCTCTACCCTAGACTGGAATGAACAGCCATACAGAGATGTCCTCAGTGAATCCAGAGGGAAAATATATGTATCAATTTTTAGATACCTGGAGTTAGCCAAGATAAATACCACAGCAAAAAATCTTGCTGTCCCCCACAATCCTAAAACTGTACACATGAATTCTTTATTAGCCCCAACTTACAAGAAACTTTGTATAAACGATTTCTGTCATACATTCACCAATTCAAAGTGCCCTCTGCACTATGGGTACCGCGCCTACCGCCTCCCGCACCTGCCAAAGCATTACTGCCAGAAGCCATGACAACTCGGTATGAACATCAATTATGGGTCTCTGGGTCCCACTCCCTCTGCAAGCACCCACTCCGAACACCCTTGCCACAGACAGCACTCACACAGGCTGACGGGGGTTTGTGTGGGAACTCTTCCCCGGTTCATGGCACAGCATCACATTTTAAGAGAGGGTTATACCAAAGAAAAGGTGATCCTTTCAGCTCAAACAGACCACATGCATGCTGGGAAAACACAGGTTAGGAAAAAGCCATGCAAGTAATATACCTGGTCGTGTGGTGAGTCCTCTGTCTGCAGCTGGGCGGGCATCAACTGGCTCAACTGGGCATGTGCAGAAAAGAAACAAAAAATAAACAAAATCCCCCAAAATTATAAATTCCACCGCTTTTCCACTGGGACAGTGCAGGAGAGACATACTGCATAAACAAAGTTATCAAAGCAACAGCTAGAAAAGATCTGCCTTCAGTTAATCCTGGAAATAAAAGGAAGGGATGGGTAGGATCTCAAAAGGAAAGCTTCATAGCTGATGTGTCAATTTTACATCATATTCTGGTTACCGCTTAAAGTGAGAAATCATCAAGATCAAATAATTTCTGCTTTTAGAGCAAAACTATATTCACTACGTGCAAACTTTTTCCAGTTGTCTGATCAGAACTGGCAGCAAGAACGGACATGATGAGTGAGTTCTTGCAGCCAGTCTTGATCAATGCTGACTTACAAACGCACTGAATCCTGACTCCTTTTTCCTTTCAGCAGAGATTCTTTACAGCACTAGCTATAAGGTTTGAAAAAAGTAAAGCACATCTTGAAAATACAATCAATACTTCATTCTCATTTGCAGACAGTAAATTTGCCTTCTGATTTTTGAAAGGGAAGCAAAGGAGAAACATCACTTTCTACCCAACTGTGTGTCATATACAGTTTTAAAACTCTTGTATTACTGTACTAAGGCTTTACCGGCTGAAACACAAGATTGATGGACCTCACTGGCATTAATAGAAATTAGGATGTGCAAAACTTTTAGAGTTGTTTGAGTCATTACCTACTACCTCAGTTAAGTCCAAACTGAACATATTGGACAAGTTTATTAAAACATTCAATTTTTTATCCCTCATTTTTTTTGGTTGTTTCTCTCTTTTACTCCAATACTGTTGCCTTCCTTATCTACTCAAGTGCCAGTGTCAGAAAGAAATTAAATTCAGAAACGTAATCCTGTGTTGTAATTGGAATTCTGAATTTTTTAAATAAGGTATTCTCATTCATTTGAATTTCAGGATTCAAGTATGAACCTTCTAATCAGCAGTAAGGGAGCCACAATAATGTAAGAAACCTGACAAAAGCACACTTTTCAATCGAACTGCTCACTATATTCGGCATCAGAAAATCACACCAACCTGACAATACTGCTGACTTAAAGCAAGGGGACTGCCCACCTCAGGAAGTCTGTTTCACTTGCTTAGTGTTCCTATAGGTTTGACAAACAACCTGCCACGTTTTTAAGTGAGAGCCTATGTGGCACCCATGTCCTTTGTATACACGAGATGACTGCAATAGCTCCTGCCTCCAGGAAAATCAGCCAGTCAGCTTGATAGTAGCCACGGACTAGAAGTGTATCTGCACATCTGACTTGATTGTGCTTCCAGAAGGGCAAAATTTTCACAGAGCTTGCTGGTCTGGTGCTGCAGAGACAAGCCATCAAACCACTTCCCTTCACAGCAGTTCAGAGTGGCACTAGCAGACCATGTAATTGCTTTCCTTACATAGCACTATAAAACCCCCCAATTTCCATCCTTAACTAAAAACTACAATTTTGAGTATTTTCCTATTTAAGTCTTCGGTTAGGTTTTCCAATGTTGTTGGCACCAACCCTCAGGTAGATCAGCAGTAATTTTCAGTGGAAAGGACTGAAGCGGAAGAAACAACGAAGGACCAACATTACCCAAATTGCTCCTGCAGAACCCTCCTCTGTTGCCCTGGGCCCTGCCTCCTCCCTAGAACGCTGAGGGGTTTTATTTCCCTCTTGCTCAGTACTCTGTAACCCTACATGCCCATAGCTAAGGCAAACTGAGAGAACAGGTTGTGGGCAGCAATAAAAATGGGAGCAGGTGAAGGGAGAAAAGGATGGAGGAAGTTTCTGTTGTACAGTAGCATCAACTCGATCTCAAGGTAATGCAGTACTTATGGAGTTAGGTGAAAGTATTAATAATCAATAATTCTTCTTGTCATCTATAGTTTTGGAAGCACTTTAAAGGGGAAAAGACAAACATCACCAGCAGATTTCATAAGTCACACAAAAGTGAAATGGCCTCTCAAGATCACAAAGCAGTTGCAGGGCAAAAACTGGAGGCAAAAGCTCAGAGCCAAGGGTCTTCCGCAGAAGATCATGATTCCAGGTGCCTAAGTGCAGCAGGCCATGGGCAACATGATACAAAGAAAGGCGGGTTTCTGGAGAGCCCTCAGCTGCCACCTTTTGAATTTCAGTTGCATTTTAAAACCTGCTTGCTCTTGTCCGTGTACTGATGTATGCACAAACAGGAGTTAATTCTGAAAAATCTTAACTGTGGGCTTCCTGCCCCACTGGACCACACCACCTCACAACAGTTGATAGAGAGGGGTGAAGTTTAAACCTATTACAGCATTTATCAATAATCAAAACTCTAAGATGTACTGTGTATTATAAAAATTGCATTCATTTTGATGCTCCAGAATCATATTTCTCTTGAATACACTTCCATGTGCACAGAACTACACAGAACTAAGTCTAAAAATTTATTTTCCAAATAGCCTTACGAAACTAATTGGTATATAGTGGCTTACACTGACTACACAGGTTTCACACAGGGTACACATCCCACCTCATACTTAATGCTAATACATCTCAGTAGAGTAAGAGAGAATGTGGTTGCTTCTCTTTTCAAAAATAAAAGAAAGGTGAATCATAAAGCTTAAAAGCTGGTACAAACCAGCAGGCAAGGAGAGCTACGTGATGCTCACCTACCAACAACCGCATTGAAGGGAGTAACGGTCCAAGTCATAAGGATAAAAAGTACATTCACAAATATCCCACTTTGGATAAATATTTTGTCAACTAGGGCTAACTGTAAGTGCATGGTAAAATCCAAAGGTTAAAACACTCAACCCAGTTAGTCACTGGCAAAATGCCCAGGGACCCTGGCAGTGTCAGAGCTTCACAGCTGTTGGGGTTTTGCCCCCATCTCTGAAGGTGTGTTTTTCATAGTTAAAATACAGCAGTTTGGTGCTGCCTTCTGCAGTGTCCTCAGAGGGCATTTTTCACTAACCTAATTTGTATCTCAATACGCTACACATATGTTCAGCCATCCAAGTGGTGTAGTGTATCACCTGGTGCTCTGGATTAATTTCTGTGGACATAGTCTCGCAATCGTTAGCCCTTGTCCACGTGGGGGACTTCAACTTACCAGATGTCTGCTGGAAATACAACACAGCAAACAGTCCAGGAGATTCCTGGAGTGTGTGGAAGACAACTTCCTGACACAGCTGGTAAGGCAGCCTACCAGGGGAGGTGCCACACTTGACCTGCTGTTTACAAACAGAAAAGGACTGGTGGGAAATGTGGTGGCTGGAGGTCGTCTTGGGCTTAGTGACCATTAAATGATAGAATTCTCTATTCTTAGTCAAGTTAGAAAGAGAGTCAGCCAAACCACAACCATGGACTTCTGGAGGGCTGACTGTGGGCTGTTCAGGACACTCATCAAGAGAGTCCCTCGGGAGACAGTCCTGAAGGGCAAGGGGGCCCAGGAAGGCTGGACATTCTTCAAGAAGGAAGTCTTAAGGGCATAGGAGCAGGCTGTCCCTGTGTGCCGGAAGACGAACTGGCGGGAAAGACAATCGACCTGGCTGAACAGGGAGCTTTTGCTGGAACT